GTTGTGGAAAAAGCACCTGGTGATTACACATATATACATGTATTCTGATTTGTGTAGTCTTCTCACCCAGTCAATTCTCTGCATAACTCGTGCTATTTATGGCCTTCTCTTTAGAGTGCAGTATGCAAACTGTCATCACCAAACTATCTCCGGTAGAAGCCTTGACCACAAGGCGAGAGCAGAATCTCAACTCTGACTATATAACCTGAATTCCCATTGCATCTTATCATATAATTTCACCTATCCTCTTGCCAGTCCTGATGTCATGATTCCCTTCCATCGAGCCATGTTGTTTTCAGACTGGAAATTAGAAAGAAAAAGGGAAACTAAAGAAGTTCCCAGCTGGACCAAATGCCGCCACTGCCAGCACAAACAGGGAATGTTGACAGAATCGAATATTAATAGACTGAACACAGTGCGGCATGTGATCACGTCAATTTGTGGCACTTGGCAACAGTTATCAGGGGACGGAATTTCAGGGAAGATCCTAGTTAAGACGCAAAGTAAGCAGCATGATGAAATGTTAGTCCAGGCAATTAGGCAGAAAGTCAATAAGAAATCGTCCGGTTAAAAACATATATATATCAAGTTACATGTAAACAAGTCCTAATGATGAAATCTGTGTCAATTTATGATATAAGGACTTTTTTTCATGCAAGTTTTCTCTTCTTGGCTAGGCTATTTGTGAAGACTGCTCAATTCCACAATTAACTGCAGACATATAAATGTATTCGGAGATGAAGAGAAAACTACAAAACATCCTGCAGAAGGGTTGCAACAATAAAAGCAATAAAAAAACCTTGACTTCTACAATTCAACCATTAAGTTGAATTCTAAAATTTCAACTATTCTGGAAAAATCCTACAAAATCACAACCTTCACATCATGTATACATGTACATTTGGGCACATCACAACAACAGATGATTCTGATGCATGGCTTCTGCCAATGGGTGGGGGGGAGGTGCATCCTCGGGAAGGGGCAGTCCCTTCGGTCACCCCTTAGCAACGGGTCTGGTCACTACCCTACTTAGGCTAAAAGCATTGAAATAATTTGGTTGCTGTGCTGATTCTACTGACACTGAACCTTTTGTGTGGTGCAACTGGCCCACAATGGAAATGGAAATGATTCAACTTTACTCCTGCAACTCAGAGAACATGAGTGCAATGGCACTTGACCATTCTCAGACACATGACTGAGACACTATCTCTCAGAAGAGGTCTTTCAGTCTTACCAACATGAAAAAGTACTCAGTCCACATAAGCATTTGGCACGGAGGGAATAAAAGGTTAGGATAGGGCTTTCTATGTTATTTTTTACGTTAACCCGTTGGCGCCGTTGATCGTTTTTATGGAAACGGCACATTATAAATTTTCAATTATTATTATGATTTAACGGACTAGCCACTTCGAACTCATGTTTAGAGAAGAAAAGAACAAAGAAAATACATGATATGAATGCACCCCCCAAGCAACAACAAGGATCGATCGCATGGTAGGGAGGAGGGAGAGTCATTCACTCTGCTCACGCAAAAAACCCTGCCCTTCCTAAGCGCTTTACTCGCAAATGGATTTTGAATCTATGCCAACAACGGTGCATCTTACTGTAAAAAATAAAATCAATGTGATGCAGAGCTGAAGTCAGTGCAATGTATAAAGAAACAAAATACCCTACGTGTAAACATACATGTAGATTCAGTTCTCCATGAGTGAAATGTGACCCATTAGGCAGTGCATGTACATGGCCAATCCTTTCAATATATATTGTAAAACATTTCGTTTCAATTGTTCTCTGTAATCAGGATGCTGTAATATCAAAGTAAAATGCCTGCTTGATGCTGCACTGTGTGTTCAATTAAGGATGCCATATTGTTAATTCAGTCAAGCATCTCTCTAGAGTCTCTACATGTAAAGAAGGTTCAGTAATTCACACACCTTGTACAGGCATAATACCTGTATAATACATGTATGACAAATAAGGAAAATTCTATGACTGCTTATTTGTTTTTCAACCATCTTCCCATAGTTCAACATACCGTTTTTCAAATCTGAAATGCATCAATTCAAATATGAGGGCACATTTACATGTACATGTACTGGTGTTATACTTTAAAACGGATCAGTTCAATATTTTCTGACTCCAAATTTACGGATTGTACGGAACTGATTGCCCTAAACTGCACTCACTCAGTCTACCTTAAGGGAAGTACTTCTCAGTTGCCGAAAAGGCTAATTGAGAAAGCATTTGACTCGCAAATTTCACAATTCAATCTTCCCATGCATTTCATCTGAAATTAACAAGGTTCAAATGCCCACGGCTAAACATGCACAACATATATTTTGTTGTGTGCACGTACCGGTACCAGGGTTGGCCATGCAAGAATTAAGCACTTTTTCATTTATTAATGTATGCACATGTAGGGCCTACATGTATGTAAAAGCCATTTCACCTTGCACTATTTGGTGTATGGGACCCTGCAGGGTTTCCAAAGGTTAAAGGTCAACCTCCTCAATCACTGCAGACAACTCTGTGCACAAACGTTGCAGCAATCTGTGATTATATCCAGATAAATAAAGACATCCTTTTTGGTAAACTCATTAATCATAACACACTGACCTACCAGGTACAGAGGAACTTTCCCCTTGAACCGTCTTTTAATATTGTGTTCAGAATAACTGTACATGGATTTTAATCATGACTATACATGTACATACATGTACTCTACAAATGTACATTGTGATTATCAGAAGGGCAGGCAGCACAGAATTTAATTTTATGCAGCATCTTAAAGGCTCAATAAAGCCAACAGGTCAAACATAGCCACAGTCCCTAAATTCATACAGCAAACAAACCGTAAAAGACTTTGAGTACACTGCAGTCAGGTAAAGCTTCATCACATGAAATGTTTTCATGTGGACCTACTCAGCAAAAACAGTGTCTGAGTGTGACTAAATGCCAATGATCATGAATTATCGCTTGATACACTTGGCTGACTGTCATCCCAGACACACGTTGGCAAATCAGAGTTTATTCAATTGATGAGAAGTGCGTGGCCAGCCATGCATTTAATCAAGGCTGCTGACTCAATAACGCTGTCATGGCTGCTTCTAAAAGCTCTGACAATTTGAATACAACACTGCTTGAAAACCAAAACACCATCACAACCAAAGTGTACCTGAGTTTAAAGTGGATATGGATTCTTTAACTAAATAAGATACATGATTTATAATTTTAAGGAACTTTGTTTGTCAAGGATTCAATTTGATCTGTCCTTAAAAAAACACGTACATGTTGCATTTTCAATGAAAGGAAGTCATAAATGATTTCCTAGATCTGTAAATTAATCATTTACAACTATAAAATGTAATTTCCCAGCTATTTTTTTTTCAACACTCCCATAAAAATCCATTAAAGATGGTTTGAGTGGAAAGGGCTTTTTGAAAACTCACAGCTTCCAACTTATATAGCTGCATTTCGGAGAAAATGAACCCCTCATTCACAATACACAGCGGAGGAGACTGGCCGGGTCAAACGTGCAAGCTCCTGCACAATGACTCCCTTAAAATAGCCACCGAATCAATCAACCATCCTGAAAGAAACAGAAACTGGAGATGCAGTGTTTACGCACAAGTCATCCCCCAAGACATTGATGACAGTACAAGGCATCCTGATGGGCTGCAAGAGGAGAGGGCCAGGGTAAAATTAAAATTTGTTCTCTGGGTTCAGGAAAAGGTCAAAATGGCTCAGAATGATTGAGAATTGTTGGTGCTTAAAACTAAGGAGTGGATTATCTGCAGAGGTAGGTATTCATTACAATGCACGATGCATGTAGTCACTGGAACTGACATGGAAGCCCAAAAAGTCACAAGATGAAATATCATACATGTATGTGTGTATTTTGCACATTAGGGTCCAGAATAACAAACACTTCAGTCCTCTTCAGTCTTCAGACATCAAAACAGTGGGTGGCTTAAATGACCAGACCTTTTGAAGGTGAACCCTTGTTACTTAAGATGTAAGGCACAACCAGACAAGAAACCAATGCAGACGAAATCCCAGCCCCTACGTGTAGTAAACAAAAGCAGCTAGTTATACCACATCAATACCCATCACAGTATTCAGAACATTGATCAGAGAATGGGTGGTCAATGTACACATGCTAGCAGATTATGAGTGTTCAATGCCTGCAGTGGCGAAGCAGGGGAATTGTACACACAGAGAATCCTGACCCCCATTGTACTTTGTTGACTGGGCTCGGTGTTTAGCATGTATGCACATCCTTACAAGTCTTAGGAGAAAAATTTGTCAACTGCTTACAAGCTTTTACTTTTTCCTAAATGCTAACTGCAGATCTTTTTGCGGTTTGGAGTTCTGGCACACATTTTAATTCACCAAAAAGATAAAAATGTGTTCTTGTATCCACACAAATTAGTCTGTGCACATGATTCTGCAATTACAATTTTGGGGCAGAGCTGACAACTAGTGTGTTTTATCCTAAATTCAACACTGATAACAAATTAACAATTTTAACAGTCAATATGCAACACAGTCATCCTAGTTAGGGACAGAACAAGATGCATGTGTTCATTATATTGAAATGAAAATTGTTGATTCTGCATGCAGAGGTGATCACTCAAACAAGCAACATATTGAGGATTTAAATCTATGACGTAAGGATGCTTCCCCGGTTCCCTCTATATATTTTGATGACCGGAAAAAATGTTTAGGGGGGAGAAAATTGTCACTGCATGCGGGGAGATGTGATACCCAACATGCAGCAGTGAATTTTTCTCAAATTTTGATCTCAGCTATCTGCTTATAAAAATCCATCTCATTATTTCAGCGGAAAATTCCTTTGGAATGTCAGTTTACAATAGCAAGGAAAATGGGTCAAGAACATTGGATTTTGACACATACTGCTGAATGGGAGAAAAGGAGTAACATTCCAATAAAAATGCCCAGCAGAATTTCTTAAAAATAAATCAACTCAGTGAACTTACCTGCTGCTTGCGTTTTCTTCTTGTGGCAGGGGATAACTCCACAGACTTGTCCTTGTTCGAGCGGGGAAGCGTAGATGATCCTATCTGCGAAGCCAATATCCGGTTAGATTTGGAAATTGTTGGTGACACAAGTGCATCAGTCACTCTAGATGCGTGGGGCTCGGATGCCAGATTTGGGGTGGACTCGGACATGTGGGCTTGCATGACGGGCCTGAGCGAGTGTCCCGGCTGTGGAGGAGGGATGATGGCTTTCTTGCGTAAAGGGAACTTCCTCTCCTGAGGGTGGTGCTGGTTGGGCCCCATGCTCTGCGACCTGGTGATAGTCACGACTGGTTTGCGCAAGGAAGGCACGGCGGTATCATCAGCTGGACTCAAGGTGGTGGCTGGCTCGCTGGCCGACCGCACATGCTTATCCGCTTGAATCAGTGACTGCTTAGAGCTGCATCCCTGGTGCTGCAGCACCTCAGAAGTATTCTCTTGTGGCTCAGGCAACTCTTCGTAGCCACTGCGACTGCCCCAGTTTCGATTCCTCGGCATCTGGGGGGAGTGTGGGCTATCCAGTGCTAGCTGGAGATTCACACGCTCCTTTCCTCCTGGTGTGAGGAGGTTCTCTGACTTTGCACGCAGGTCATCAGGCTCTTCGCCTCGGTGCAATCTATCAATCTCCTCCTGCCTGTCAGAGACAGTTGGGTTACTGGTGGAAACCTGGATACCCTGTGTGTATTGGTCAAGTTCATTGGGTGCCTTGTCTCCATTTGGCCAGGTCCTGGACTTCACTTTGGATTTTAGCTTTCCATTTCGTTCCTGCGAGTCAAGGTTCGAAGAGTTGATTAATCCATCTGGATGGTGAGTAACCTCCTGTAGTACATGCATATACTGTTGCTCTGCTGTGGCATCACTGATGGAAGTGGCTGTGCTCGAGATGGACTGGCTACTCTCCGTGCTGACCACAGTGGTTCCAAGACTACTGGCAGTAGGTATATGTCCATGCACTCCTTGTATCTGTAATGCTTCAAAGAACTGGGAGTCAACAGAAGTCTTTTCAATTTCCTCAGAAAAGCTTCCTCGTTTCCGATCCTGTGTGGGATCACTACGAGAGCGTCCATTTTCTCCATTGTTCCCACCACTGCCTTCGGTAACTGACTGCCCAAGGGCACCAAACTTCTTCCGCCTTTCCTTTTTACGCACACTTGAGGACAGAAATTCATCAGTCGCTTCTTCAGCCATCGTATCCATGACTGGTGAGGAGGAAGCCGGTGTGGTTTCACTTTGTTTTTTCACATTCAGAGGTCTTAGAGGAGCTTTCAAGTTAAACTTATCCATGGGGGACGAAGTAGATGCTTGAGTGCCACCACTGACTTCTTTACTCCTCGCCAAGAGTACTTCGGGTAGCTCAGGGATGACCATCCTGTTTTTGCGTCTAGGTCTTGGCAAGGTCTGAGAGGCAGGTGGCCATTCAAAGTCCCGCACACAGCCCTCGTCTTCACCCGGCTCTGATGCCGGGGACATGGGGCGAGTGAACTCCCCATGTGGAATGTCCGTGTATTCCTGCCTGCGACCGCGCATTTTGCTTGTCAACTTTTGCAGTGTTCTGACAGGGGACGTCGGGGCACTCATGCTGGCTATGTTTTTATCAGGTATCACCTTCTTAGAAGTTACGGATCGTGACTGTGACTTGAGGTTCTCGACACTTCCAATCTTCAAACTGTTGAAGTCCATGCGTAGCGTTAATTTGGTTCCACCGGACTCTGAAAGCTGCGGTGATGATGGATCAGAGGCAGAAGTCGGGGAATCTTGATTTCTTGCCATTGTGCGGCGGACATTATCCACCTTCAGTGGAATAGTCTGGCTTGGTGTGTGAGTTCCACTCCAGTCTCTGTATCTTGATGTTGCTGTGTTGTTCTGAGTGCTCAGAACAAATGCAGAGACAAGTCTGGCTCTGTTCTCAGCGACACTTCCCTCACTTTGATCAACAGTGCCAACACTTGAAACACTCGACCGACGACTGGAGTATGGGGAACTTACTGGGCTTTGTAGTTCATCAAAAGAAGCAAGATTTTTCTTAGTGGTCTTGGTCAATCGCTTGACTGCCAAGGGTTTGAAAACCTGCCTGGTTTGACCAGGGGACGTGATCCCAGACTCAGTGTGTGATAAAGAGGTAACCGAATCTGGAGATTTGGGGCTAGTTACTGGCGGTGCTGTGTTGACTTTAGAGTGCACATTACCTTGACTGTAGCCCCTGTCTGATGGGCTTTGCTCATGCGGTATAAATGCACCAACCCTCCTCGCAACGGCTCTCTTTTCTTGAATACTCGCCGGCGATTGACCCTGATAAACAGTCCTGCTCTCGGACGACGAATAGCCTTTCGGATCACGGCCAGCAGAAGTCGAGGTTGCGGTGCCGAACTGGCCCGTCTGCGTTGTTGTTGGCGGACTTGATACACCCTGTCTGTACGATGTGTCCTTGTTCTGCTGCCGAGACGAATCCCCTGCTAAAATCCTATTACTGCATTTAGATCCGCCGCCGGCTGCTTGGGTCTGGCGGCTGTTACCACCGATGATATTCCAGGCATGTTCCTTGTCCTTTCCGTGTTCCAGTTGCACGTTGGGCTGCTTATTGGATAATGCTAATGATGGTTCTGCCGCTGCACCGTACAACTCGATTGCCGACCGGCGATCTTGGTCAACACTCACAGTAGCATGACTGCTGCTGGTGCCGAGATGATGATGGCCCCGCACCCGGTGTTCCTCGGCAGTCACAGTCGAGCGGCAACTTCCCGTGCGTGTATTGCCCGATTCCTTGTGATTAAATTGCCTATGCTTGCTGCTGCCTAAGCTTCTCTCGCGATCACTATCAGAGGTCTGGGCTCGATTGGCGATTTGAAGCTGAACACTGTCCCCGGCCCCAGCGCGCAATCCAGCCCCCTTCTTGCCTCTAGCCGCTGCTGTTGACGAGTGTGCCATGGTGGTGAACGCAGACCGCCGCTGTCATGGCATGGCTGAGATTAAAAAAAATGTTTACCCGAGCAAGCTGTCGCCAAGATTAATGCAAAATAGGGCCTCGTCCTCTGATGAGGATTGTACAGGATCTCACAAAATAAATCCTCCTCGTGATGTCGTCTTTTAGAGGAAGTTTGTTATGGAGTTGGTGAAGTTGAAAGTCGACCGAACGACCTCGCGCATTTTGGCCCTCATGCTGTGCTACGCTATACGGTTGGCTGGCTAGCTTGAAGTACATGTATGTCCCCCATCCATTATTTGCGAGCAACAGGCGAAAAGGAACATTTTCACACAAGTTTACAATGAACCAAAAAATCCAGCATCACAAAATCTGGCAAGCGTTACAAAACATTCCACTCGAAATAATTCTGGTGTCAATAACAGCTCTTGTCGCCGTCCTAAGTAAGTTGTGATTCACTGTGCAATGTCGAACTCTGAATGGGTGGTTTTACACTGTATGTGTACCCCGTCGCAGGTACAATAGCAAAGTGTGCGAGATCGAAGTGCACCCATCCGGTTTGCATGTGTTCAATTACACCCCCATTGTCACGCACGTTTGGCTGTACAGATAAATGCTCCTCCTACTGTACTAAATAACAAGGGCGACGCACGTGTTTCGAATTCGTTCGCAAACAGCACAACGAAGTTTACAATCCGACTTAACTTACAGGACAAGATTACCACACTCCCCTTTGACCTGTCAAAAACAAAAACTCATCAACATGGGCGGCGACGCTTACTTATCCTGTGGTGGGGCCACATGTAGTTCGTGTTGACTAAATCCTCGGCGCTAGCCGCTAGATCCGAGGCCTGCTCCTCGGTCCGAGGGGGAAGATGCGGCAATGAAAGATGCAAGCCGCGGACAGGCTACCGCCTCATCTCGTCATCCTTGCTCGCCTGAGCTGACCACAAACTCTGCCCGCCTGGTGAGTTATGGACCAATTGCACGGCAGTGTCCAAGCTGGTATAAAATGCGTGTAGAATAGAGAGCTGTAGTGGGAAAAGACAGACGTCAGAATTTACAGTGAGGAATGCATTAATCTTGAGCACTTCTGATGAAATATAAACGGGCCGAATTTCTCAATAAATCATGGTGACACGCGACCGGCTGTCCCGATAGGCACTTGGCGGGAAGACTAACTCGGCGCTCTGAAACCTGTGCGCATTCTTTTATCTGTTGCAATCTCAGTCGATTCGCACGACTGAAGATGTGTTTATTAAGAGCAGTGAATCAAAATGTTGCTCTTTCAGCAGGCCAAATTCCTGGTTGCTAATTACACAATTCGAAATCTGCAACCATCGAATGCTGCGCAACCGTGAGCCTTAGACTGTTGTGTCCGTCAGGCCTAAGTACATGTATAATTACATTTCTCCTCGTCTGCCTATCTACAGGGAAAAACATCCCTAGGAGATATTTGGGGAGTATAAATAATTAGCTCCAGAGAGAACAAAGTCCGGTGAAATCGTCATGCGTGGGTACTTCTTTTGCCGTTTCTGGATGGTTTCTGTCACGATCGTCTTCATATTGTTTGAAAAAAAGCTTTTTAATAAGAAAGCAATGAAATAGTCGAGTTTTTTCTGTTTTGGTTTTTGAGTTTTGGAATGAAGGGCAGCCTTCCGAAAAGGTCACTGAAATGTTTTCAAACACTGATTCGAATTTTAGATTAAACAGTTTCATTAACAATTTCATTTGTTAATTTCTATTGAACATGTTATTGTTTTTCTGTTTATTCTCAGCATTTTTTATCCTTATTTTGAAAATCACATTCGTTTTTAATCACAATTATGATTTTGTTCCATGTGAAGCAGGTATTTCATATTCTTCGTCCCATCATCATTGAGGAGGAGAACACACCAAAATGTCAAGCAAACCCTGCAGGCATAAGAACTGTATTTTGTCATGCAATGAACCGATCATCATCCATGATTACTGTTTTATCTTGTTTACATGTCGAGTGCCTCGGGCGGAACAGCGAGACAACGAGAAACTTAAGTCGCGACGATATTTTTTGACGGATGGGAGACGTTATAGGTCTTCACCGCAAGGGGGCGCACTATTAATAATTGGTTCAGGAATTTTGTCGAGTTTTCCGTATAATTTGGCATTACAGTATCTTTTGCCCCGTTGTATACATTGATGTTCATTAGAACGCGGATATGAAAAAAAAAATTCGATTTCAAAACTAGAATTAGGACAACCCAACGATACGTGTGCGTGTTTTGTGTAGCAATTATTCCCTGGTTGTCGCGCACCATCAAACGTTTTGGAATTTACCTCACTCCTTCCCGAGCGATCGAATCTGATTGACAGCCTCTTTTCAACAGAAGCGCCTTGGGAGTTATGGAAAAACCCAGCCCTCCCCCCGACACTTCACAAGTCACACCAGAGAAACCCCTAGGAGGTTTAGAAGTTTTGCATTTTACAAATTTACAGGTACAAATCTTTGTCACAATGATATCAGATACTCCTAGTACTGAAAAAGCAAACCCGGAACATTATTTCAAAAATTATGGGTGGAATGAATTAATGAATTTTGATTGACAGCCGGAAGCTGGTGTCAACACAAGAGAGCAGTGACCTTCTCGGTTGGAACAATGTTGTCAAGGGGCACCAATGCTCAGTGACAAATCAAATTTGGTCCTCTGGGTGTGCTCCGGCCCAAAGTGGAACCTTTGGCCTCAGAGTGACCAATAATCAATGTTGGTGGATATCCACAGTGCAGAGGGACAACACATGCCAATCATCCAGACAGACAGCAGACCCCCTTTGTGGCCTTTGGACCTGTCAGAATCCGGGAGAAGAAAAAAATACTGAGAGAAAAGTCGGATGTGTTTGAGTTCCAGCCTTTGATAGTCGTGAAGTCAAAACGGACATAGTACAGGTATACACGTAGGGTATGTTATCCGACTACTCTCCAGGGTTGTCACCCTCTCCAGTAAGCACACGTTAATGAACAAAATGAAGGCTGGGACACTAACAAATCTAAAAGCGTCTAGTTTCTTGAAAAAAAGCCCGGTAAAATGTGCAAACTATGCAGCATAGTATGCGACAAAATTTGCAACGTCGTAAATATTTTCGCAACTTGAAATATTTGCGATAAAATTTGCGACATGGCAAAGTTTTTGCAAGGATATTTGCGACAAAATGTGCGACCAAAAATATTCGATGTGTGATGCCTTTTCAGGACCACCATACATACGTAAGGTTGAGGGGCATTTCATGCAAAAAGCGATGTATTTTCTCCAAACTATATAAATTGCACATTTATGCTGCAGAAGTTCTCCGCTATTAAATCATTTGGTGGCACGTGGATCAGATTGTTTGTAGAAAAGAGGAAAGAAAATTACCAGTAGGATTTCCAGCTTGTATGTTTGAAAGTATTGGATAAAATAGCGCCTTCCAAATTGCTTTATTCTGTGATGCAGTGTCTACCGGGTATTATGACATTCTTTCAAATAGCGGTGGGCTTCAGGACTGCTTTTAGGGGTGATCCACTCTAGAAAGAAGTATCTTTAAAAGTCATTGATTAAGTCACTATGTAAAGGATATTAAAGATGAGAAATGAGCTTTAATTTGATATGCCTTGAAAACGTGAGAAACGTCTGAGTATTTTCGCGAGTTTCTGAAGCAAAGGCATTTATCACTGTTGTCTATGGCAGCTAACCTACTGATCTGCAACCTTAAGCCTGACCATCTTTGGAAGTTATTTATGACAACTGCCCGTGGCTGTGTGATCTGCACCGGGTCGTGAACCCAGTAGACACACGATGTACCGCGCTGAAAGTCACTTACTGGTGGCGCTATTCAAAGTTCTCGTTGCTACCTAGTACCTGCTGGCGCGGCTGCCGGTTGCTGGCCACACTTCCCGCGTCGTAATCAGCTGGCTATGAGACTGGCTAGGAATTTTACGCACGTTAATACGGAAAAATGACGGAAGCCGCCAGTCAGCCAGTCACGTCCGGAGGTGCACCTGTTCGAGCCACTTCAGGGGAATTGTATAACGGGGTCGGCTCTCCCACCTGCGTGACCCACATATGACCCGAAACTCGAAGGACACTACCCGCCCGTGCGCGTCAAGTCTCGTGACCAAGGAAATCCCTGAAAAGTTGGAACAGCGGCGGAGTACTGCAGTTTGTGAAGAGTTCTGATTATGAGTATTCCCTGCTGATGGTCGTTCTCAGCACCAGCGACTCATCGCCATGGTGTAAAATCAGGCTTCAACATCGCTCATATATTACATTCTGTGTGGTGCAAGCCAAATGCAATATTATCGATTATTAGCACACAAACTTTAATTGGACCCATCCACGTCGGCCCTGTGGCTCAGTGCAATGGCCGCTCCTATGAACTCGCTTACCATGTTGGTGTCAGCAGTTGTCATTCTGTCCTGCTTTCCCGTGATATCTTCAGGTAAGCATGCCTACAATAGTATTATTGCTTTCTATTTTAGGAATACATAACTATTTTGTTTCGTGCAAATTTTAAAAAGATTAGGCTACTTTTTCAGTCATGTCAGTGTGTCTCCTCTAGTCAACGTTGTTTTGATTTCATTACGTAGTACGGTCAGGGAGTCCACCTGGGATAGTGTATCCTCTAGTTCGTCCTGTATTTCCAGAACTGTAAGGATAATCAACTTTACAGTTCGTTTTTTTTTCTGTTTGCATAAAACACTTTAAGGTGCAACTGGATGATGGCAAAATATACATTTCACTTTGTTTTCTTGTTTTTGTGTGTGTCTCAACTGTTTGTTTTGGGTTTATTTTTAAGGTTTAAAGAGTGCGGAAAAGTTTTGTGTTTTTTACTCTTGAATTGTAATATTCAAATAGTAAAGAACAGAATTAAAATCTCAGCTGTAATACTATATGGATTTTAACAACTTATCTATAACAATCAACTTTCTCCTCAAGACGTGCTGCTTGATGTTTGTCCTTCAGGTTTGAATTCTAACCCTCGTGATGCTGAAGTTGAGGCTGATGGCAACGCATTCCTCCTCGATGACCAAGATGATTTCACTTGGGACAACTTGTCAAACAACACCAACAAAAACAACACTGGTGTCAGCTCCACAGCAGTTGGTTTCATTGGGGCAGCTGTGGCAGTTCTCTTCTTTGGCTCCAACCTCGTCCCCATCAAGAAGGCAGACACTGGAGATGGTAAGGGTTTAATCTCTGTAAATTCCACGACCGTCCTCTCCGGAGTCTAAAAGCCAGAAACACGGGGGACGAGGGTTCAAGTGCAAGAGCAAGCTGCTTTCCCATACCCTCTCACACATTTCATTAGACCACATGAAAAAAATAATTAGTTTAGCATCAGCACCCGCCTCAAAAAATCTTGCCATATGTTTTTTTTTTCTTTAAAAGTTGTCTTCTCCTACGTTCTTAGCTGTCCCCCGTAGTCTCAGAAAGCCCACACAACTTTGTGCCCGCACAACATGTGACCTGAGTACATACACACAATGTCATGTGCACTTCTGTGCACGAGTCTGATGTGAACATGGCGCTTTCGTTCTGTGCTTGCAGCAGTCTAGATCAGCATTTACGTTTACATTTATTCCATTTTTTTGAATGCATACAAATTACAGCCAAGAAAGTATACAAATACAAACATTACAAAGGGACAAAATCATTCATACCAAAGTACTTCTATTAAAAAAACAAAAAAAACCTTCCTCCCTCCTCGTTTTTTGCAGTACAACTGATACTAAACTATCGTTTTTTTTTAAGTGGCCCAATTATTAAGTTAGAGATCAGTGAACGAGCCAGTCGAGTATTCCAACATTTCATGCCCAAAGTGAAGCAGGTGCGGGGTAATTCAGACTTGCCTGTTAGATCTGCCCCATCGGCACAGCCCTAACGCAGACTCACAAATTGACTCTTATACTTGGGCACACGAAAAGAGTTCAGAGTGCGGTCTGGGGATTGGGAAGTGAGCATCGACACAGACAAAAATTATTTGGAAGCAGAAAAATGGGAGAGAAATCAGGTGTGCAGTAACCCTTTAATAGACAGGTGATAAGAAAGGACAGAACCAACCAAATTGAAAGCAGGTAAAGGAGTTGTATTAGAAACCAAAGCCTAAGGGTAGTGTAGCCATGGAAAGATTGCTGTAAATGTTGCTCGGTAATGGCAAAAAACGTCTTGCCCATTATCTTCACCACAATACACATGGACGCACAAGAAGGTCACCAGTGCACGTTTGTGCACCCCGACGGATTGTGGTTGACCAGAAGGGGGTTCATTTCCCAAGGAAGATCTCCAAGGGAAATTAAACCTTCTTCTGGTCACTCGCAGGCCCAAGGAGGGCATGAGTGACCAAATTATGCCAGTCTACATGTGTTTTATAACACACCCTTGCCCCAAATGAGGAAAAAACTGTTCAGGGTTTTCTGACTGAACTATTTTAATGTAACCATTAAACTCATAAGCAGTTCAACAAATAAAGGAACACTTTTTGTTACCCTAGGTTCAGTCTTTGAGTTGCTTCTCTCTGTTGTCCTGATTTAATGGTGCTCTAATCAGTCAAAGATTTTGAGTTTGGTGCCTAACCATAATTGGAAATTTACTTCTGTGAGATATCTTCACATACACGTAATTTATTTTTCAAGTAAATTTCATGCACTGGCCTATATTAGTCAACCCCTCTTGACCATAGTTCAGCCAACCAGGATAAAGAGGCACCAAGACTTCAAGAGTCTTCTCAAGGACCCAAGACAAGCCCAGTATTATGGATCAACAATGGAATGAGTATGGCATGAGCATCTGATTGTTTGGTATACCTTGTGTTTGCAGGGATGTTCTACCAGTGGCTAGACTGCATCGCGATATGGCACGTGGGTCTGATCGTTCATCTCATCCGGGGGTCTCCCCCCTTCTATCCCCTGGCTATGCTTGGAGGCTTCTTATGGACCACGGGTAGGCTATCAGCTGAGAAAGCAATAGACAACAATTGCTTTTTTTGCTGCCAAGTTTAATGCAGTCCACGCCTTAACTTCTGGTGAAGCATTTTTGTATGCCCATTAAATTTCTCATGTGGGTTTCTTCCAATAAACATACTGACATTCAGTACATGTTAGTTTGCATTTGCAAGAGCTATGCTCACGTGTGCCTGTAGTTTCATATGCACATTTTCGAGCAAGGTAAACGAGCTTGAATATTAAACCAGTAATGTCAAGATAAAACTAGAATGGTTTAACAGAGTGACTTACACAAAGCCGTCCAAATTGTGAATAAAGTTGTGTTTTTAAAACATTCGTGTCATTAACAAGGAAGGTGTATCATGGGAAAATTTGCTGAATTTCCTTTGAAAACTTAATCGCTAGTCCCACGGTGTGGCCTACCCAAATGTCAAGAAAAGGCACATTTTGTTTTTGCTGACTCGAGTGTACCTGAATAATTCAGTGTAGCAGAAAGAGTAATCCTGTGCAGATGTTGACTACTCTGGACTGCATTGTAATAGGATAAAATTTCTCATTTTAATTGAAACCCATTAGGTTTGCAGCAGTATTTGCCAGAATGTTTTTATCATGCCTGATCTAGTAGAAGCTACCATATGATTCCATCCAACAGATGACAGATTATTGGAAATCTGTCCATTTACCTTCGTGTTTAAATACATGACCTTTGTAGGGGATGATCACCTTCTTTAAATACACTTTAACTGTACCGTACACACTTTCATTGCTAAAATGCCAGGCTCTCATTTGAAAGAAATGGATCTAAATGAAATACATGTATTCCAATCCAAATCTCATTTTGTCCTTTCTTCTAATGGATTAAAACAATGGGAATGTCTTGTACTCGTATCAAAAGTACATAAGCTATGCCTATGTTTGATTAGGGAGGTTTGAAAAGCCAATTCTATTTTGAAATAATCTAGGGATGACTTGTGAAAATGACTCCCCTCAAATGCTGAGTTTCAGTTGGAATTGGAATTAAATTTTTAATTAAATTTTGTTGTGAAGTCCAAGTTTAGTCGCCACCTGCATGGTATTACTGTTTAATGCCACAGTAAATGTTCAGGTCCCAAAATGTTCCTGCTATCTCCATCATTATCTGTGTTGAAAAAAAAATTCCAAAAATTAGCAAACGCACCAATAAATTTTTTTAGGGTTATGTTCAAAATCTAACCAAAATTGACTATTAAATCGTTAATCTGGTCTGAACTGGAGTCAGTAGAAATGATTTTTTGTTCCCAGTATGTATCCTTCTTATGCCCTCTTTATGCTCTTGAATGTTTTTTAGGCAATGTTACCGTCGTTCCAATCATCAAGACTATTGGTCTCAGTCTGGGCATTCTCATCTGGGGCTCGTTGAATCTCCTGATGGGATGGGCCAGTGGACAGTAAGTTCACTTTGTACTTTACTCTTTCATGACTAACATGGGAAAGTGATCAAATCTTGAAACAAATCATATTTCAAATCTTTTAAAATTGTTCTGCCGGTCAGCCAGGCATGCATGCCACTAAGGCCATTTTGGTTTGCCAATTGCTCATGTACATACCAGAGATGGGGTGAATTTGACTTCGGGATAAACACAAAAGACAAATGTGCTTTTGACCTTTGAAAGATGATAGAAATGTATTTTGTATAAAAGGTCAAAAGGTTGAGCATAAAAATGCATGAAATATGGTGCTGTCCAAAGATTTTTAAATTGTGCAGCGGAATATGGAACAGTTTAATTTCTACCCTCTATGAAATTGTACTTGTATGGCAGTGTGTACGTCCCAAAGCCAAAAGTGTGACATCCGACAGTGCACATAGGCAGATAAAACAATCGCGACTTGAAGGGATGGCATCGGCTGTTAATGAGGGGAGAGTCATTTGCATATCAAGGGACTATTATTACTGCTTGTATTTTAGCAATTGTTGGAGTACATGTACGTGTACAAGGCAGCTCACCTTAGTTATTTTAAATAAATGTACATGCAGTGGTCTCTGTGCAAATTGGATATTTTCTTGTGGTAAATACTGAAGAGTTCTTCCATTTTTTTCCCCCATTTAGTTTTGGACTTTTTGGCATAAATAAAGACAAACTTCAAAATCCAGCCTTCAACTATGTTGGCGTTTCGTTAGCATTTCTGAGGTGAGTGCATTAATGCACAAATGTATTAGTTGAGTCATTTTCTCTCAAATACTAGTGAATTTGTAATCAGCAACCAATTCATTCTGCATAATTTCACGATGATGCTGTTAATTAATGTCAATTGTGTATGTTATTTCATAATCTGGGCCAGCCTGTATAACGGTGTTTCATTCTCTCATCAACTTTGTGCACATATGCGTGTTTTCGTTTGTACAAATATTGTTGACACAAATAATAGTCAAGATAAGTTATTTTTGCCGATTGTTTGTTTCTTTTGTTTCATTACTGATGCGCTGCTGTGAACTTTCTACTTTAACCACTTGTTTGGAAATATCAACATTTGTTTTGTCCTAGCGCTCTGTTATATCTGCTGGTGAAGCCTGAAGTGAGCCAAGCAGCGCCCTCGCTTGACGACGAGCATAACACTCTTGTTGACAGCGTGAGTGAACTTCATTTTCATTTTTTTTCCCGTTTTTCTTTGCCACTACCCCTCTCCCACATCCTCTTTAGGATAGTCACCCTACTTTGTATAAGGCCCACAGTTGCGGCCGAGCAAGCAGACGAGTCCAGACAGATAAATGATTCCCCTGATGAGTCGCAAGCCCTTGAAACAACGCCTCTTCTGGCTGATACCAGGCAGAAGGTACTTGAGCTCTTTTACAGTGTTCAATGTTGTTCCGGGGGGGGGGTTCACTTTCCTGCCACGGGCAACAGATATTCTCACTAGTGACTGGCTATATTTAGTTGCAATCAGTCAGAATGTTGCATTTGGAATGCAGTATTGACTTCCAGTGTTAAGCCGACCAAATTTTCAAATAAAATGTTTACTCTGCACGCCAAGGTTTGATATACAGTGAATGAAGAATTGTGTGCACTGGTAAACTTGGATTAATCTGCACTTAAAGTTAATGCTTTAAAAAAATCCAAACCTTTCCAAACCCCAAACCAATCTAATAATGCCATGGTTTCTTGCAAATATATTTGTAAGAAACATGTTCCATTTAATGGCATAGCACCTACACACTGGTACTCTATATTTTCTGGTTATTATATCCACTGCTTATCATCCATTACTCATATTTCAACTCATATTTCCAACACTGTGTATTATCCATAACCCTTTAGTAACCCTCTGTATCTCACTGAGGATAGCAGTTTCATAAATCCAAAGCCTGTTATGGGTTGTTCCAGAAATTGGAGGTCCAAAAGTAAGACATTTTAGTGTCCCTGTTACATCTGACCTTTGTTGTTTGACATGGAAAATATCACCGGAATCGATTTTGAACTATTACTATTTGTTTGGCAGGTCATTTGCATCAATTCATCACTCTTGGAAATGAGAAAATGTGCTCTGAACTTACAAAATCATGTCAGATGTGACAGAGACACGAAAAAAATGGGCCCCTAATTTCTGGAATTACCCTTATACGGTTCGTGTATTCATTCTGCTTAACTGCAGTTTGATAGTTGTAGTTTATGGTATCTTCAATGTCGGATGGTGCAGTGTAACGATATTGATTGATAAGGCCCTCCTCCTCCATGGCCTGACCCCTCCTTTCTCTCCTAGCCTCCATTGAGCTGTGCCTAACATGCTTTTTTGGTCTCCTTTTTATCGTAGACAGACAGTGCTAATGCCGCGTACGCCCCTGCAAACCAACCAAAGGATGCATCATGGGTGGACAAGCTCCCACCCCTTCAGAAGAGAATTGTGTAAGGATTTAATGCTGGTCAAGAAGTACATATAGTCAATGCAGTTCATATGCAAAAATGCTCTCTTATGTGTGTGTCGTCAATTATTGAAAATCACAAGTCCTCAATACCGAAAAGTCCTTTATTCATTGTCAAAAAGAAGAAAACCAAGATATTTTGCCAAGAGAATTTTGAAAATTACTTTACTTCAACTTGAAGCATGCTTCAAACTTCTGTTTAGAGGACTAAAACCACTATTTTGAAATAACCAAATGTGGTGAGGGGGATTGTGTTTCACCTGTCCATTTTTGGTGAACAGAGGTGAAGCGAAGGTTGCCCCTAGAGGTCTAGAACTTTGACAACGTAGATCTTGAGAATACCCTTTGCCGTATCCTGAAATCAAAGTTGTTGCTGCTTCTCAACAGAGGCATCATCATGGCCATAGGTGCTGGATGTTTGTATGGGTTTAACTTCGTGCCTTGCATCTGGATCCAGGACAATGTGAAAGGTGCAAGCCAAAATGGTACGTAGTGCATTTGTAGGATAAATTGAGGGTAAAAGCAAGGATTCACAAAAAAGCTCACTACTTTGCTTTTGCCTGGATGAAAACACTTATCATTGGTACAATTAGCCTCTTACAGATGATTATCTCTTCCAAATCATCCATTCTCTCATTGCTAACTGTGCAGTACCTTTTAACTAGCAGCTACATGTATATTGTTATGTATAGAAAATTCCAGCAAAGAGTGCTTGTTCCAGAAAGTTCAGTATTAAAAAAAGATTGAGTCCTGGTGTTAGAGAAATTCTTTGGCAGTTCCAGCAGATTGGCTTTCAGCATGAATTTTCGCATAATGTACTTTGGTTAAAGGCTCCAACCCGACTTGTGTCATTAGTGACAGTTTTTCTGCGTACATGTACTTGTTAATCATTTTGATTTCTTGTATATATCTTTTTAAACAAAAATTACACTGTAGTCTTTTGTTAGCCATTTACATGGCTTTGATGAAGTTGGATACAAGGTCAACTTGACTTAAATATGCATACAGTTCAATACTTAATGATATCTATTTGCCTGTCAGGCTGTAAGAAAAGAGGTGTTTTTACTTTAGTGGCTGATTTAGACAGGGGCACACCGGGCATGCCCCCCAACTGCCTGCACAAGAGTGAATTTTAAATGGGCTCCATTGCATTTACACTGTGAGTAAGGCCTTCTCACTGCGCCCTTGCATTTGACCCTTCAACTTTGACTCTCCTTTCTGAAAATCCTGGATCCGTCCTTGTATCATGCAAAGCTACCAATGAAGCATTGGAAGATACATGTATATGGCTGTTACCACTTCTCACACTTCTGTAAATGAAATCTTTGGCAGGTTTGGACTACGTCTTTGCTCACTTCTGCGGTATCATCTTGACATCGTCAGTGTACTTCATGGTGTACTGCATCTACATGCGCAACCGGCCCCAGATTGGTGTGGGTCTTATCATCCCCAGTGTGGTGTCGGGTGCCATGTGGGGCATCGCACAATCCGGGTGGTTCATCGCCAACTTCAACCTGTCAGAGAGCGTCAGTTTCCCCATCATCACTACGGTAAATTGGGTATAGGATGAGTGCCATTTGTTATGGTTTTTACCTTATATGATACATTATTTGAGGACATGCAGGTGTCCTCAAAGCTTCTGAAGTGGAGCAATAGGTATGTGTATTGTGAGGTCTGAGGTCATAATAACAGTGACCTGCTGGCCAGTCTCAGACTCAGTGGCTGTATCTGATGAAGTGAGTGGCTTTATTAACAGGCGACATCATGAATGTCCTGTATATTTGACAGGTTGTCTGTCAGGTGTATTATTAGACAAATGCGAATGGCAGTCACAGGGGATAAATTTAGAAACGGAACCCCTCTGTATGAAAATGCAGTGAGAAACTTGCATGGCAGTTGCACCGTGCTGGAAATATCAGATGATGTGTAAATTGTTCAGAGCCAGACGGTTATTAGTCTTGCAGTCGGGCCTATCTCAAATCCTTTCACCGGTCACTTCACAAGTCCTGTCACAAGCCCTCTCAGAAGACTGTTCATAAGTACATGTACCAGAGTGAACAGTGACATAGTTGAATAGTTTGTTTCTTGACTACGGAGTGGATGATTTGTGACGGACTTGCAAGGACTTATAATGGACTGGACTAAATCACTGCCTGTTATGCTTTTGCATCGACTTTTCTAAGTTTCTACATAAAAAGTCACTTAATTGATATTGATTACTTCAGAAACTCTGCATCAAACTCCCTCAGTGCCACGATTGTCGCACCTTAACCTTTGATCTTTCCACCTTTTACCCCAGAGCTGTATGCCACGCCTCTCTTGAAAACTGCCCCTCCTCTCCCGAGCCTTACTTATCCATTGTGTAAGGACTTGGTTGCTTCATTCTTCTGTCTTCCTGCAGGGCCCTGGCATCATAGCATCCCTGTGGGGAGTGCTTCTGTTTGGTGAGATCCGGGGTGTCAGGAACCTCCTGGTGCTGTTCCTTGCCTTTGCCATCACCATCACTGGGGCCATCTTCACCGCGCTGTCCAAGTAATCAATAGGTGCTGACCCAAGGTTATGGCAGAGATTCCTGCATTTTACTTTTTCGTGGTTGGGTTGACAACATGGGTGACATTTTGGGTGACAGGTTTGAATGGGTTGACACATAACTGTCGCATTTTCGAAATGCTGCTTTATGTAATTCTAAGTCAGGGAAAGAAATGTGCTATATTAGTGCAACCGCAATAATAAGGAAAATATAAAGTGTCGTCACTGACAACACCAGTGATTCACTGTTTTTCACTATTACCAAAATGCAGAATTCAGGGAAATTATTGTTTTGTAGTTCTTTGGAGGTCCACACCTTGTAGCATAATGGCTGAATTGTACGTCTGCAAAATTAAAATTAAACAGCAGCGACATGAACCAAATAAATAGAGAGATTGTTGTTGAAACACCGGATCTTTAGGTGACAACCATCTTTGCAGCATTTTCTGAGTTGTGTAAAAGAGGCTGAATTTGTCATTTGACAAAGACACACTAGACCAATCTGACTGTGAGACCACTCTCAGCTTGTACAGCCCCCAGTAATGGCTTCCATCTATTGTTCAGAATAACTAGCCTTTTTAGTAGCTGATCTGTGTACGACTCTACTGACATTGGCCCATGGCAGATACCCTAAGTTGACTTTTACATGTGAAGGTAGTAGTATCTTCAAAATTATCAGTTGTTTTACTCCCAGCGCTGATTAAAATAAGGAGAAGGACTTCAGCCAATTTTATGGAGCCATTAGCCAGAGAAACTTTCTGAATACAGAAATTATCTACTTAGCAAAAAGGGTTACCATGAAAAATATCATGCGGCGAATGTTGTTTGTGACTGGTTCCCAGCTGATTTGTGTTTAGCACATTTAGTTGCAAGGCTGTTTGCTACTTTAGAAGCTCCATGCAATTTGCCTCTTTTTGTGTCGAGCTTACCCTTTGACAAACAATTGCAGCCCTGGTGCAGTCTGTTAAATGTTTGCTTAAAGACTGGAAAAATGATTGCAGAAAAAACTCAACTGAAGTCTACCATTTCCCGCCTCCCTCGCCATAAAGCCACTGTATGCTGTTGTCATATTAGTTTTGTTAAAAGTTTCGTCAGGTACGTTTTTTGATTGAATAAGTGTATTGTTATGGGGGTTGTATTGAATTGTTTGTTTAGTCTGATTCCAAAGAATTCCTAATGTTGCATTGGTGGAGTTTAGTGCATAATTAAATCAATGTGAATTGCACTAAATTATCAAAATTTGTCTAAAACTGGTACCTACAAATAGTTTCTACTATGAGCTCCACAGTATGTATTATAAATATTTTCTTTTGATTGGTAATGTACAATCTGTGTAATATTTGTATGATTCATGTTTTCGTATATGTTTTCATTGAAAGTGGTATTTTTATACTGTCTGAAGAATTGAGACAAGTCTTTATGTCAGTATTCTTAAGTGCCTTTGAGAATTTGGCATAGTTTTTCAAAGTTTAGTACTAGACACAAAGACTGAGGAACAAGTGAGTCTTAAATGAAATTATTCATAACTTCTTTTCATTGAGCTCCAGAAATCATTGATCTTGATAGAGTTAAGTATACATACTCTCAGGCAGCTCTCAGCCAATTTTGCCAAGTCATCTTGATGAAAGAGTGGATTTACAACCAAGTTATCAAGAACATTGTCATTGTCAGTATGTGCCACATGCAATTGGCTTGCTACTTGATTTGCTCTCCTGTGGAAAATTAGGATTTCAGTCCTTGGCCATTAGGGCATAAATATGTGATTCTCGAGCAAGAGTGAAATGGTTGCCTGTCATGCCAGTGTGCGTGTGTGATTTTATCATCACCTGATAGAAAATTGAACATAACTTTGCCGACTGCGTGCATTTACGTTTGAGTCAGTCACATACTGTCGCCGTTTTTCATGGAGAGCCACATGTCAGAAGTAGCATTTTTTCAATTTCGATTACATTCAAGTAATCGGGTACCGTAGCAGCGGGTACCATTTGTGAAACTGCGATACCTGCTGCTACACCTGACTCAGACGGGCCAGCCGACCCTGGCAAGCTCATTGGTCGAGTGGTTAAGGCGTCTGCACTAGTAAGCAGGAGGTCGTGGGTTTGAGTCCCACCCGAGTAAGCTTGTGAATTTTTCCGCAAGCTCTGGACAAGCACTGAGCATACAGTGTTTATCAATATATTTGTTGGGTCAGGGCAAAACCCGTTATATAAATTACGTTCAAGTCGTTTGGGCCAAAATCTTGATAAGTGCATTTTGCGGTTTCATGAAGTGACACAAATCTTCATACATACAAAAACGTATTGACTGGAAAGGCCGAAAAGTAGGTCAAGTAAGCTTTTCATTTTCACAAAGAGCCACACATCTTTGTTACATTTACAGTGGCGTGCACTTGAACATGTGTTCCCCTTCCCTATGGAAATATACATTGCACGGAAGGGCCAAAAAGTAGGAAAACATTTTTTTGATTTCACAAACGGAAGGGTATTTTTACATATTGATTTTGGCTAATTGACCACAGTGTTCATTTTGATTACTTGGTTCAAGCAAAAGTGTACCTCTCAAAGAGTCATTTGAGGGTATTTTACCTCATAAACTTGGTCCATATTGGTATTTTTTGCATTTTGGAAATTTGAAAAGCTTCTCAGGCGATTTCTGGAAAAGCCGGTTTTTCTTCAAAATCTACATGTGTGGCTCTTCTTGAAAACAGTGATGATATAAGTGTTTTCTTTTGATTGTGTATTACGGGAGACTTCAGCGACACTGTGTGCATTTGCTTCATATCAATATGGAAACTGGGCGGTGTCTGAGTAGACGATCATGTCTATGGGACTTGTCTTTGAGAAGTGTCTACAGCTACTAGCCAGTGGCTTTCCAAAGGTTTTAGTTATGTCTAGCCATTGCTGCTCAATTTGACTCTTTGGCTGTGACTCTGGCTTCAGGGATCATTTGAAATTCAGTCCCTGAGAGGGACACCCTCTGATTCAAAGGAACTCCACTTTCTGATTCTGAAACAACACATTGGCAATGTGTGGAGTGTGTTGGGTCCCAAAGCTGGAAATAAAACTATCATTTGAAAATGACCTCAGTAATTTACATGACCAAGTCCAGGGTTTGTTGAGACACAGGGAGAGAGAAAAACCAAAACCAACAAAAACAGGCAGAAAGCAAAAAATCATAAAAGTACACCCATGGCCATTGCATTTTTTCTCTGAAGGACATCTGCAGTTAATTCATTTCCGACTGAGCCTTCCTTTTGGCTCCAACCAGAAAAAAATTTCTTGAACAAGCCCGTTTGGAATTTCTTACCAACAAAACAATTTAGAAATTGATAATCTTAAGATTTTTTTAAGGGAAAAGTATGTTATTATCTCCCTCTTGTTTTTCTCCTTTACAGATCATCTTCTATCCAGGTTAAAAATATGTCAGAACTATAGATTCATAAAGGAAACCCCAATGTTACAGAAAATTCTGCTCAATTTGCACAACTAATCTTTTGTTTTATTGGTGTAAAGTAAAAAGATGCCAAGTCATTGTCAGTACTGATGAAGATTCATATTAATTTTATGCTGCAAATGTCGATTTTATATATTGAAGTATTTTTAGCAGTTAGAATTTAGATATGATGTGTAAGTAATTTGGTCAAATGATATATATTTATATTTTTAGTGTAATGGAATCTGATGGTTGAATTGGGATATTTAAATTTGTTTACATCAACATTAACATAAATAGTATTACAATGTGAGAATTTACTTTGGATAATAGAGGTTCTTTAGTTTAAAAAGTTTCTTTTATTATTAGCTATCAAGTGGTCAACTTTTAAAACTCAAATGAAATGGTGTTAATCTTGGAAAGTTGAATAATATTTACCAAGGAGTGCGAGGCCAGTTATAGATCATATAAAGCAAGTTAACTATAGCTTTTGTTCTGAGCTCCATATTTTGTCCATTATATTAATCATGGGGATTGGGGCCAAATTTGCAGTGTATTGTTGGAAAACAGTCAACAAACAGTATTCGTTTTTACATATTTGGATGGATGATTTGAGTTGGAATTCTTAATAATACTGATTATAATTCTTAGTAAGTTAGGCACCGTGCCAGTCATGCTATACCCCAACACCATTGTAAGCACAAGATTAATGCAGAATCTCAAATTGATTGAAAATATGCCAATCAATTATATTTTCAGAAAGTCAATTTTCAGTTTTTATTCATATTAATTATTGGCCTGATACCTTTATTTAAGGTCTTGATAATTTTTTTTGATTAGCTTTTTATAGAAAGACCTGTTATAGGTCAGCTTTTGTAGAATTTCCCCTATTCAATATGCTGTACATCATTCATGATGCAGCACAACAAAAGGTCCTAAACTGACATTAATGTCAGAAATAGAACCAGGCCGAACGGCCATCACGGAAACTGAAGTTTTTCATAAAGTGCACATGTTGATCAAGAGGCCAACAAATCTGAGACTGATTCGGTGGATGACAACACAGTGTACTTAAAAGATGACTGGGAGGCTCGTTCACACCTCTCTTTCAATCTCTCCTCCGCCAACCTCCCACAGTCACCAAAAGCTCCCCTCCTCCCCTTTCACGCTGGAAATTTTAAGGGGTCAGTTTTAGGACATTTGCTCTGCAGGTATCCTGTTCTATTTTTCTCCCCTCGCCACCTCAACACCCTGCCACCACAACACCCCTCCACCACCACCATTCGTCCCACCCACGATAGCATTGCACAAACTTCGATGGCTGCAGGCGCGGGAAGGGCAAATGCATGACGTAAGTTTTCCAAACGCTCATTGGATAAGAGTTGATTACCCGCAGCAGGTTAGTGCCGGCACACGGGCCCGTCGTCGACTCGCCCCCCCCCCTTGAAACTGGCCCACCCCATCACCCCACTCCATGAACCATGAAAAAAGAAAGACATTTTGTTCATGTGATGTGCCCCCCCAACTGATACTGTGGGTCCCTCTGAATGCCTGAAGCTGGCGACGAGGCTGGCGTGATGTCAGCTAGCTTTGACCTTTTCGTTCACAAAATTTTGTAGCATTTACCGTGCATCATTTGCCCTTTCCATGCATCCAGCGCTCAGGCTGTGGGGACGAGAAAAATTGCGCAAACCTCCTTGATTCGTTCTCACACTTCGCTGCGTCCTGCGGTTTCAGCACAGTTGCTTCTGGGAACAAGATTGTCCTAGTGCGACCTTTCGAGGTGACCTGAAGTTCGACATGTGTGTGTGTGATTTTGCAATGTACAAAGTACCTACCATTATAGTACATGTATAGTGCGTGCCATGTCCGTGGAGTCGGGGACATACGGTAACAAAAAAAGAAACACTACGTAGTTATTTACGAAAAGACCACTAAACTCTGTCAAAATTAAGAGTCATGGGGAAACCGAGGAAAGGAAGGAACACGAGAGGCGCCGACGAAGATTCGTAAGTTTTTCTTCGCCGTATTTTTGAGCTGTTTCCAGACACGCTCGTGTGTCGTGTGTATGCGCTTTATATGCATGTGTACTTCTATTGCTTTCTACACGTCCTGATCCCGCAAAGTGCGACGCTTTATTTACACAATCGTCAATGTAATCATGTACTAGTTGCCTACTTGTTTTGCACATGCAGTATGGAACCCAGTAGTTGCTGAAATTTGCGATATTGCACAACAGGGGCGCCATGTCACGATGTTGGTGACCACTAACAGTAGTACCTGCACCATGTGTCCTACTGTTTACACAGATGGAAAACCTGTTTAAAGTGTAGGACTAGCTGCAATGAATTTTTCTTTGACACAATTTCTGCATCTTTGTACTTTTCTTCAATGTATAAAAATTCTCACACACTCCTATTTGGTTAAATGCATTGAAAAGTGCACACCTGTAAACAATCAAAATTATCCATGTTTTCCCAGACAAATGGGGGCACTGTTGCTGTGAAGTCATCTAGGGTAGACATGGTTCAGTGCATAAGTATTTCTGTTCAAATTGTGAACCCTACGGTGGCTGATCTCTGCCAGGAATACACTTTTTTATTTTATGGCATTATAACGCCCTATTACGGCGTTATAATGCCCTATTTTGACGTAATAACGCTCTACGGCATCCACGCAATAACATACGTGGCTCCACTTTTGTTTTTCAACTTTTTTTGCAATTACTGACTTGTCTGAGTTAATACATCGAGAATTTCATGGCACCAAGGTGCAACTTTCTTGCCAGATTTAGTTACAGATCAGAGCAAAAATGTGTGTCCAGGCAGTGAATCTTTAAACACAAACTGAGTAGTGTTGTTCATTTGGATGATTGACATTGGAATGGATTGATTTCTGTGCAGGGATGGAGAAATTGATTTGGACCCGATTGCTAAGGCCATGAAGGAAATTGACGACGACATTGCAAGTGCCAAGGCTGGAGGCAAGAAGGGAAAAAAGAAGAAAAAGAAGTAAGTGTGGGAAATAGGCCTGATCATTCAGTTTAAACGTAAGAATGATTTTTCATTACTTAGTTACACAGTGAACATGAACATGAATGCCAGCCGGACTAGCCAGTCGCCAAGTGGAAAACAATTCAAAGAAACCATGCTAACTGACCCACTTGTATTACCTAACTTTGAATAGCCCTGCCTGTGTCATGCAGATGTTATCAAACGGTCACAGGGTCGTGACAGTACTGTCACTGGGATATCGGAACAGAAAAATGGTTGTTAAACTTGTTCACCATAAGAAGTTGAGTTCCACTGAGGAGAGTTAAAAACTTGCTCTCTGTTGTCAAGCAGGGATGTTGATGAGTTGTTTGATGAGCTGGGAGCCATGGGTGGAGACGGGGAAATGGCCGAGGAGTCAGGCAACATCCCCGATGAAGAGGAAACTGCCACCAAAGGGAAGAAGGTTAGTATAGAAACCTCTCTGTGTCTAGGGTTGGCAGAGTGCCTGACAGTAACTGCTCTTTAGGACTTGGTTCAGCTCCTTGAAACTCAGCATTTGAACCAGACTCCTTGTTTTGGCTTCAGATTTGCGAGATTTTTACTTTCTCAGAACAGAAGATTAGTCTGATGTGAGGCTTCAGTCAAAGTCACAGTCAGAGCAATAACCACTTCCTGCCGATTTGAAACAGTGCATGTGAAGGGCAGCAGTTGGGCCACAGTGAAAGTTATTGACTCAAAACTTGTTTAATAAAATAAAAACTATTCAATTTGAGAAACTTGTGTTTGGAAGTTATTCAGTGTGCCAAATGCCTTGACATTTTCAAAGGAATTTACAGATTTTACTGAGATTTTTCTAATGGACTACCATGTATATTGATGTACCTGTAGGTGTACATCATTGTACTGAGCCCATGTTTTGTTTTGCAGATTTTTCTTCCCTTAAAGCCATCCTGTGCATCCTTTTTTTCAAAAATTATTTATGTTTGAAATATCTCACCTCTGTGATAGATTTTTGTTCAGCTTTTGCTGTTATCTTTTATTCATGTATACAGTTTCCCTCTCTTTTGTCACCTCCAGGGCAAGAAAGGACGGAAAAGAAAAGATGACTGGTAAGAGCTTCTTCAGTAGAGATTGCAGTCACATTTGTTAGAATTTATTTCACGAGAAGCTTTTTGTACATTTCGCAGTACTTTGTTTGGAAGCAGCTTGACCAAGCACTGTGTATGTTTAATTTCCATTCTCCGTGACAAATTGAGCAAAGCTCCCCCTCCATTGAGAATCAACAGTACAATTTTGTGGGGGGGTTTTAGAAATTCTGTGCATGTATAAGCAAGACTCTGGCTCTTGACAGAATATGACCAGTCACTTTGCTAAGTCTTTCGTGATCTGATGTTTCACCCTAACCAGCCGAATCCAAAACACTAATTCTACATGATTTATACTCTTAAACCTCTTGGAATATCTGGGGACATGGTTTGGATTTGTGACTGCCTGCGACTGTTCAAAGAGTAGAAATGTTAACAAGTGTTTCCAAGTCTTTGTATTTTTAAGTGTAGACCAACTTCTGATAAAGCCTTTTCATTGTCTTAAAGGGAAGTGGATGATATTGCTAAGGAGCTTGAAGACCTCAAAATGGAGGAGAAGAAGGAGAAAGGAGACAAAGGAAACAAGAAAGTGGAGAACATAGCAACTGAGGACATGGATGGAGGTGATCAGGACAAAGAGACTGAGGACGTAAGTGTGTGCATGTGGTGCACCGCATTTTCTTTGGATTTGAAATAGGGCACCTGTGACTGGTACAGCTCCTGGAGTTTAGTTTTGCTATCTGAAGCATTCAGTGTACCAATATTAAATGTTTATGAGTGCAGTGGTCAGAATAGTGTCATTTGGTGACAGAGTGGAACATTTTATCTGTCGCCGAATGAAATTATTCTTACCATTGTACAAAAGTGAAATATTCATTATTTTGTTCATACAATACCTCCATGAATCCTCTTCTGTCGGGCGAAACACATTTGTGTCTGAAACACCATCCACTGGTAGTACATGTATTGTGCAGTGTTAGACCATGTAGACTGGTTCCCGTCCCTACATTATTTTCAGCTTTTATTACTGGAAATGATGTGAAATTGGAACAGGAACCAGTCGCATGAAATGAGTATCTATACACTGGGCACCATGGAATTGAACACACAATTCAATGATATGAAAAATTATTGACCAATCAGATGACAGGGATTTACGCAGGTATTGTCTAAATTGTAACATGCGATGCATGTAACATGGCAGGTTGGTGTAGTGTGTCTTTCCTCGCCCTCCACCTCAGGGGGCCTGGGTTTGAATCCAGCTTGGTCCACATGTGGATTGGGTTTACAGTCCCTACCTGAGTCGGTGGGTTTCCCCCAAAACCATTTATCTCGGGTTCTCCTCCCACCTTTAAAACTGAACATTTCTTCATTGTTTTCTTCACTCATTATCAGCCTGTAAATGACGCTAAACGGGCGGGTGGATGTACATCAATCAATCAGTCGGACTGTCTTTACTTTAGTCAGTTAGCTGTGCCAGTGTCTAAGTCTTCGTCCATTGCATTGCATGGAAAGCTCAGTTCCCCATGATTCATTGTGAGTCATTTCGGCTGCAATTTCAACATGCTTTGAAGCCATGCCAAAATTGCTGTCAATCTTCCAGCAGTGCGTGGTCTTGTTTGAACCTTACCCCCTAAGACCCTGCAAAGTTTGTCAGGAGGTTTTGAATGTTTTGCACGATAAACTTTTTGTCTCAGAAAGGTTTACCATGGCAGTTGTTTTCTATTTAGGTTGGCAGGTTGAAGTACTAACCGAGAGGACCATTCTCTGTCTTTACCGGTTTCAAAATGGGAAAAGTAACAGTAATCTTGGAGAGTTCTACCATGAAAAGTGTGACATGAACACCAAGAGCCAAAAAAAAATGATTGAAACATTGAGAAGTTAGTAGGACTGTTTTCACTGATGCTTTGAATCTTCCTCTGGTGTGAACCTGGTATTTGACCAACAGCACAATGTAAAGAAGCCCACAGATGATGATGAGGAGGATGGTGAAGATGGTCCGGTGATCAAGACGGCCGCCCAGAAGCGGGCAGAGAAGAAGGAGCGAGAACGGAAGAAGAAGGAGCTGCAGCGGGCTGAGGCCAGAAACCGCCGGCAGAGGCAACAGACCAAGGATGTTGACAAAGAGGAGGCACAGCCTGAGGGTGACAGAGCAGCATCAGAGACCACCCAAGGTAGGGCAGCCCTCGTACTCTGCACGATGTGATCAGATTTTAACTTCCCAGACCAGAGAACTTGATGATGTGAATGAATGTTGCCTTCTTTTGTACTGGCAGTCATGCTGGTAAACTCCTGTTTTCCCTCATGACAAACACCTTGTGAAGATGGTACCTCCTTGAACCACATCAAATGGTATTAATTCCAAATGACATGAATAGCTTTATCAGAAACTGCTAACTGTGAAATGTGCTGCATATCTACGTGATAATGACTGCATGTTTTCCATTCCTGTAAGCTTTAGATATGAGTCTGTAAGTACAAATGAAATCATAGACTCAGTCACATGGGATCACAGTCTTAGGCCACATGCGAATGAGCAAAACTACCAAAACTAGGTGTGGCATTACGGTAGAATGTCCGTAGGCAACAATTTTGCCGTAAACCGTTCCCCCCAAAATGCCATTTTGCACGTAGGTCATTCTTTTTTCCACGAAACTCACCAACTTATTTGTTCGTTGTGGAGTGTATTGTGGATCTTGGTGTTGCCACATTCCCAGGGGTATTCCAGAGATGAATCATCTTGGCTTTCCTGTCTTGTTTTATCCAGCTGAGGCCAAATTAGAGGACGAAGAAGCTCAGGAAGATGGAGACAAGAAGAAGAGGAAGAAGAAGAAAAAGAAGGGCAAAGATGAAGACGATGAACCCGAAGAAATCAAAGAGTCATCAGAAATCACAGCAGCAGATGAAGGTACTTACATTGCTGAGCTTGCCAAAAAAAGCAGTACGTTTTTGGATGCAATTCTGCCCCCCCCATCGCAGGTTACTCCCCAACTACTGCTGGTACTTATGTATACTCCTCTGTCGAAAGAGGCCAAAAGGGGTGAAGTGGCCAGTCTACACCCACAACTGGAGGTCCATCAGCTGGATTTGAATCCGTGACCCTCAGGTATTGGTTTCGCTAGCTGTAATCACCGGGCCACAGTCGCCCTTTCCGTGTCTTCAGAAGGGAGGCCTTTACTTGTAAAAGTGGTCTTCAGTTTATTGAAAAGAACTGTATAACTAATACCTAGTTGACTTGAAAGCCAAAGGTCATGCAGACAAACTCAGCCAGTCAGTATTCACATGGGTAGCTGATAAGTTGACTTATCCTTTATTTGTTTTGTAACCACACATCATTCGTGGAATCTGTGGAGGGGGACTCCATGTTGAACTTTGCTGCTTTGCATGGCCTGTTAGAAATATCGCTTTGTTGCGGGGCCTCAGAGTGTTGCAAATTATTAAGTTGTAGTGAGACACATCACACAAATATTGTTCAAATGACTTTTAAGACTCACTAGTTTTAGCATTTTGCTACATTTTAAAAAATGGATAGATTGCGAATAAAGAAATGACGATGATCGTCAGCTCATTGTTGGCTTCTTTACTAAAGGGGAGGGCAAAGAAGATGCTGTAAAAGGGGAAGATGAGGAGGAAGGAGACAAGAAGAAAAGAAGGAAGAAGAAAAAAGGAAAAGATGAAGAGGAAGAGAAAGAGAAGGACAAGAAGAAGAAACCAGGAAAAGGTAAGCAAGCCAAGGAGGATGCGTAACTCATCAGTAAAAGCCCCAGGTGACAACTGTTGACCAGTCAACAGCCTTGGTTTCCTTCTGGACCATCAGCTAGGCGCGGCTGACATTCTGGGTCCCGTAGAACTTGAAAGTTCAGGAATCAATCAGATTTTCCTTCAAGATGGCTTTTACCCAACTCAGACTTGGGGCATTTCCTCTTGAAGATGATGCGTTATGTCGTTTTTTTCCCATAAACATATTTTTTTGTGTCAACATGAACTGTAGAAACTGTAGGTACGGGTGTGCTTATTTTGTGGTATAGTTATTACCTGCTAAGTGTGGAGCTGTTGCATTGAATCTTTTTTTTAAATTTTCCTTGTAGCTGTTGGAACTTTTTCAACGTAACTGTGCATGTGTTTTGCTGTTCTCACTTTGTACTGTTTGCTGTTGGAAAAATACTAGCGGTGCGCGCCATGCAGGAGGCATTGAGGAAGATGAAGGAAGAAGAGGAGAAACGGAAAGCAGAGGAGGAGGCCCGGATCAAAGCCGCGGAGCTGGCCGAGGAGAGACGGCTGGAGAAGCTCCGGCTGGAGAAGGAGAAGAAGGAACGAGAGAAGCAGAAGAAGAAGGTAGGTGCACTGACTTGGTGCTAGCCTGTGCAACCTGGCCAGATCCTATAGAATCCACTAGGAGGTCTTTGGAGGGATTTGGGCAGTTTGAGGAAGGGAAAGCTGACTGGTACAACTTTTCTTGAGGATGGGTACCCCTTGATTGTTGAAATCATACAGGACTTTGCGGGGTTGACGAAGGAAGAGCCGACCAGTACTACTTTTATTTGGGCTTGATGCCCCTTGACTGCTGAAATCATGCGGGATTTTGCGGGGTTGAGGAAGGGAGAGCCTGACCAGTACAACTTTCCATGGGGCTTGGTACCCCCTCGAATTTTGAAATTATTGGTGTCTATCATTGGTTTTATGCTCAGTGGAATATTTTGAAAGTTTGCAGCAGTTTCCCATCCAGAATGTTTTGTGATTTAGGATTAGAGATGCAGTAACTGTGGTTGACATCAACCTAGTTTGTATGCTGGTCTCTACACAGTCAACTTGTCTTACAAACCTAAAAGGAAGGGGTGATGCTGTGGAATTGTCCAAACTAGTTACAACCATCCATACGCACATCCTTGTGCCAAACCCAACCCCACCCATCTCATCAAAATTCCATTTTCTTTCAGCATCATTTCCAAACCTGACTCCCTGCCCCAATTGCAGTTCTAGACTCATTCGCACGGGTCCCCACCCTAATTGCACCGAACCCCAACCTGACCCAAACACCAACAGCAGCTCACCTACACCAGAACCTGACACAGATGCCAAACCAGCTGCACCAAATCCCACTTTCCTGCCAATCTAACTGTACCACACTTAAACCCAAACCTAACTGCTCTAGACTATCACCCTGACTCTCACACCACCAGCATCTCATCTGCATTAGGCCCTGGTGCAAACACCAACCCACCCCCACCAGACCACATCTCAAACTCAACTCTTCCCCTTCTGGAGCCAGTCATTGCTGAAGCCTGACTGCACAACTCCACCCCCCCCCATATCCTACCCTCAACATCCACACAGTCCAAGCCCCACCAAGCCACAGCCTGTGTTTGACCACTTCTTTGCTCTGTGTCGACAGGAGCGGATCGAGCGACTGAAGAAGGAGGGCAAGTACCTGACCAAGAGCCAGAAGCAGGACAAGGCGAGAGCCGAAGCCATGCTTGAAGCCCTCAAGCAGCAAGGGGTGGAAGTGCCCAGCAAGGAGACAGCGACCGAGGAGAGCAAGAAGAAAGTCCGCTATGGTGCCCGGGAGAGAAAAAAGAAGAAAGATCAGAACATAGAGGGTAGGTAGAAGCCACCTCATATCAGAACATCTTAATTTCTTAGTCAAGTTCCATGGCCTACAATGCACTCAGTGGGCTGAGACTTCCTAAGAATAGCTCAGTTTACAAAGTTGAAGACAAGTAATTATCCAATTAGCCTGGCTTAACACTGTCGTCTCCTTGTTTGCAAACAAATGAGTCAGAAATCTTTGAGATCTTGACAATGCATGCATGGTTCCACCTGGTACATGTTAAAGAAAGCCAGAGTTTTAAACTTAAATGCACATTTTTGCCGCAACACGCTTTTGTTATTCAGTCCCAATACAGTTTTCTTCACACCAATTGCTCAGGAATAAGGCAGACCATTTTGTTGTGATTGTAGCCCGTGGATGGCCCCCTTGACATGAATAATGTTGGTCTTAATTCCAAATCCATTTGTGCTGAATCCTTCCCAGGTACCCAGCCATCTCAAATTTCAGAGTCAGCAGAGCAGGGCGTGGAGCTGCAGCGTGAAGACTCAGAGGAGAAATCGGAGGAGACTAAAGAACAAGAGGCAGAAGATGAGGTTGCTATGGAAACCGAAGTCAAGGAAGAGGCTGGGGAGGAGGAAGAAGTGAAGGATTCGTGGGATGCAGAAGCCTCGGATGAAGATGAGGACCATGACCAAGGTAACTCACGCTCTGCCAATGAGTTCCAAGTCAGCCGAGTCAGCTTTGAATTAAAGGCCTCTAACAGTCATTTGCGTAGGACACCAATGAAACGAACATTTTTTCACCCACAAAAAGGCCCTACATATTATCGAATTGAAGCACATTAAAATAAAAGAAACAAAAAATAGAATGGAAACTAAAATAGAATAGTGGCATTGAGCCTTGAGCAAGAAGAGACTGTTTTTTTGTGTGTGCCTTTCCAGTTGCAGATAAACATGAGAAGTCATCCCAAGTCATCATCCCAACCACTGAAATCACCACCAAATCCACCAAGGACGCAGGGGAGGGAGACGAGAATGAAGATGAGGAGGAAGACAGTGAAGAGGCGAGCAGCAGCGAAGAGGAGGAGGAGGAGGAAGAGGAATCGGAGAGTGAATCCGAGTCGGAATCGGAGTCAGACTCTGAGGATGAACGGCCAGCGGTCGAGAAAGCCAGGGACAAAATCAGACAACGGATCCAGGTGAGTCGGTCACAGACCAGCTCCGAAATAAGCGGGGAACCAGTTGCTAGTAATAGTTACATCACACGGCGTTTGGCTGGTAACCTGTTTCTGCACCTTTTGCGACTCCAGGGTATCAGTCCATGCCCTGCCTTATCTGTGGATTCACCGGTAACAACCATCTTTTCTCTTGTCAAAGAGGTTTTTTTTCCATGGACCGCTGCTGAAACATGAGTAATGCTGGTTTTGAATCATGAATCCTCTTTGGAGGATTGTAAAGGGTAGGAAATCCACAGCAGACTGATGGACTAAGCTGTGAACATAGAAAGAGCATGGCATTTGTTGTTGACCTTGACATTTTCAATACGTAGTCCAGTTTTCACTAGATGTACTGTTTACTCTAGCAGCGGCCATTTTGAAAGTCATATATATGCAGGTGTTCCAAATGTTTGCTTTCAAACTGTAACAAGCAAAATAGCATCGGCTGTGGCTCCAACATGTTCTCCTTGAAATCAGGGTAAAAATCATTTGACATCCAGTGTAATTCTTTATTTACCTTGACTGTCACAGGTATTGAATTTCTCCAGAGATTTGATTTTTCTGTAACGTGTCTCTGATCTGGTTCATTTCAGAAACGAAGGGAAGAAGCAGAGGCCAAGAGGTCTACAGATAATCTCAGGTCACCCGTGGTGGTAGTCTTGGGACATGTAGACACCGGCAAGACCAAGATTCTAGACAAGGTATGCTGCCTCTTCATTCTTCTCTTAACCCTCCGTTGGTTTCACAGCACACATGTGCACAAATGCCCACAGTCACTGGGGAGC